CTTTCCTTCTCTGGTAAAATTAAAATAAATAAATAAAAGTTAAATAAAAAAATAATTCTTAAAAACAACAACAAAACTTTGCAGGATTGGATCAGCCAATGGCATTGGTGTTTAAAGTAGCTGGGTCGGGAACCAGCAGTTAGCGTAATGGCTATGTCGCTGGACTCCCTCGTAGTCGACCGCGGTTCGTGTCCTGGACCCGGTGGCTTAAAACTCACGCCGGGCGCGTGTGCGTGCGGGCCCAAGATCCCGAGAGGAGAATGGAGGAGAAGGGATTGCGGCGTGACTATCCCCCCTGGGGGGTGATTTCTCGCTTTCTGTCTCTATGTGTCTCTCTGTCTGTCTGGCGAGCGCACGCGCCCTACAATGAAAATCTCTCCAAAAAAAAAAAAAAAAGTAGCTGGGTCCTACATAGCCAACTGTCTTGGACTCAGCAACTTGAAAAACACGTTGAGTGTGAGTGTATGCATGCCCCAAATCAAGAGGAGACTAGAGAAGGGACTGTGGCATGGTCATTCCCCTCTGCGGAGGGATTTCTTGCCTCCCCACTCTCTCTGGTGAGCGCCTGCACTCTATAGCAAAACTAAACAACAACAACAAAAAAAATTTTTTGCGGGGGCAGGAGGGAGGTCAAGAAACTTACTTATCATGGTGTTTCCACAGGATTTTTTTGGCCATGAAATCTTTCTTCTAGTAAACCTTATTAGTATCTCATCAAACTACTGGGTCATTGGGAAAGTTATGACAAATTTTTGCACAGAAAAATGTGTCATGATTTTTCTGACAATTCAGTATCTCCATGAATAGACTCTGGAAAACTCTATTCTACACATAATATAATCAATGTGACCAAGTCAATTGGTATCTAACTCCAGGGCATCACAAGCCTCTTTCATGTACCTGGCTGTTAGGCCCTGAGGATATAGGTAAGCAAAGAAAATAACACCCACAGTTCAACAAGAGAGATGTTCACCAGATAATCTGCAAACAGAGACAAGTGCTGTGAGGTTTTGAAAGCAGAAGTTGGGGGTTGGGATTGGTAAGTGGCTCAGGAACTTTCCTTAAAGTGATAAGCTAAGCTGAAACTTTCAGGAGGATAGGAGTTATCTAGGAAACTGGAGACAGGAAGAGGATCCAGGCAGAACAGAGCATGCAGAGATGCAGTGTTGAGAGGAGGAAGCACAATGTGTATGAGGGAGGGGAGAAGGGCCCAGTTACTGGAGCAGGAAGGGCAAAAGGCCAGTAGAAGCAACCCAGACAGGCTAGATGCAGGTGTGCTACAGGTAGACCAGTTAGGAGGCTGCAATTAGGAGACAGGCTTTTGGAGGATGGAGAGAAAAATGGGAAGATTAGAAAGAGACTTAGGAGATCTCAAATAGGAAGGTTCCTGGTTCAAGTCTGGCGAGCTCCTTGAGTATGCTGGTCACGCATTTGTCCATGACTGGGGCTGGCTGAGGTTTGCAGGTGGCTCACAGTGTTTTGTGGTATCAAGACCCTATAAGGGATTGTTTTTCTTCTTCTTTTTTTTTCTTTAAGAGAGATTTTTGCTATAGAGCGTGTGAGCTTGCTAGAGAGACAAAAAGCAAGAAATCACTCCCCAGGGGGAAGCCAGGTTGCAAACCCTTCTCGGGATTTTGAGCACACACGCACAAGTGCCTGGCATGAGTTTAAGCCACTGGATCCAGGACTTGAACCGCAGTCAACTATGTGGGAGTCCAGTGACATAACTATTATGCCATCTGCTGGTCCCAGGGGTTGTCTTTCTCTCCCTAGGTCATGGAATAAAATAAACTTTTAAAAAAGTCAGCTGTAGATCTTCTTCCTTATTATGAACACTTACTAACTGTCCAAATAGAAATTCAAAAACGTATGAGTCACATCCCGAAGAAAGGTCCAATTCTTGGGTATTTTTGTTTTTGTTTTTAGAAATAATTTCCTGTAAGGCAGACATGCTTGCCAGTACAGAGAGGGGGACAGAAAGTGAGAAAGCACCTCCCTCAGGGGTAAGAGCCATGCCACAATCTCTTCTCCTCCATTCTCCTCTCAAGACATTAGCCACATATACACAAGCGCCTGGTGTGTTTTTCAAGCCGAGTCCAGGACTGGAACTATGCAGTCAGCCATGTGGGACCCAGCCTCTTTAACCACCAAACTACTAGCTGACCCACGGTCAAATTACTTTTAAACTAAATATTATCTGTTGATATTATTTGCTATTCATTTAAAAGATAAAAGTATTTAGTAAAATAGTTTTAGAAAATAGTTTCCAAATTATTTACATATTGACCTACTAGCTATATTATCTTAACAAAATTATTGTGCCTTTTGAAGCTTTTTACTTCTTCATTTATGAAATGGGGACTGAAAGAGTCCTACTCTATATAGCCTTGTGAGATCCACGTGATATGTAAGTGGTTAGTACAATCCTTGCTACACTGTGAGCACATCTAGTAACTATTATATTATTACTGCTGAAATGAACTACATTATTTTAGGTTTTTGCCACAGGGCACATGCACTCACCAGACAAAGAAATGGAAAATGAGAAATCACCCCCAGAGAGGATGGCCACACCACAATCCCTTCTCTTCCATTCTTTCAGGATTTTTGATATGCATGCACACACGTGCAGCATGATTCCCAAACCAGTGGGTTCAGGAATTGAACCACAGTCAGCCATGTAGAAATCCAGTGTCTTAACCACCATGCTAGCTGCTGGCTCCATGAACTCCATTATTAAAATGAAATCACTACCAGTACTTTAAAAGTGGAGTTGTTTTTCTTCATAAGCATGTGAGTTTATTTATTTTGTTTAATCTGTTAGAAAGTACATGAACCCAGTGAGAAAGATGGAGAGGCTGGGAGGAGGGAGAGAGAGAGAGAGAGAAAGCACCTCCCATGAGGCAAGGTTACAACACAATCTCTTCTCCCCTCTTTTTGGAATTTTGGGCATGAACACGTATGCACCTGGTGTTTCTTTAAGCCACCAGATCTGGGACTTGAACTGCACACTTGGCCATATAGCATCTAACCACCTTAACCACGGGTAGGTCCAGTTTTTTTTTGTTGTTTTTTTTTTTGGGTGGTGGTGGTGGTGGTGGTGGTGCTATAAGGTGCATGTGCTCACCAGAGGAGGTAGGGAGGGACAAAGAGAGAAAGCATCTCCTGGGAGAAAGGCCACATCACCATCCCTTTTCCTCCATGCTCTTGGGATTTTGGGCACGCGAGCACACTCATGTACACAATAGTATAACTTTTCTTTCTTTCTTTTTTTTTTTTTGAAGAGGGTTTTGCTATAGGGCATGTGCGCTCCAGAAAGCCAGAAAGAGACAGAGAGACAGAAGCGAGAAAGCACTCCCAGTGGATGGCCATGCCACAATCCCTTCTCCATTCTCCTCTTGGGATCTTGGGCACGCACGCACATGCACCTGGCGTGAGTTTAAGCCACCAGGTCCGGGACTCGAACCGTGGTTGACTACATGGGAGTCCACAACATAGCCATTATGCCAACTGCTGGTCCCCACAATGGTGTGTGCTTCAAGCCAAGGGGTCTGGAACTTGCACCACATAGTCATCCATGTGGGATCCAGCTGCCTAACCACGATGCTACCAGCTGATCTGCAATATCTGATTCCTTTTCAGACTGATGGTTCAATTTATTCAATTCTGCAAGTATCTGTGCACTCATGTTGTGCCAAGCACTGTTACAGCACTGATGATGCAGAATGAGAAAGCCGTGCTTTTTGGTATCAGATAGCTCACCAATTTCTGCTTTCTATCCCCTTCCCAATGGTACATGCTTGTTTCATGGTAATGGAACCAGAGGTAAGAAGACATACTATACCTAAAAGCGGTGGCCCCAGGAGGACAGGACAGCATTCCACAATGGTCACCAGTCCCACGGCGCTGGAGAACCTCTGGGGTCCAATGAGGTCCATCAGTGTTTCAAACAACACTGAGCTGAGCCACCCAAAGGCAAATCCGAAGAATCCAGCGTAGATGCAGAACCCGATGTAGCTGGTGGATAAAGGTGCTAGCAAATGACACACTCCATTTGCAATAACAGAAGCAGCAAAGAAATACTGAACTCGAGGTCTGATCCACTTTGTGTTGGCTACAAGTCCCATAGATGGTCTGGCTACCATGTCAACAAAAGCCAGGATGGAAAGAAGAAAGGCAGACTTCTCACTAGAATAATGCTTACTCTTGCCATAATTACTAAGAAAGACCAAAGGTGAAAAGAGTCCGAAAAACATGAGCACATTTCCAGAGAGGTATAGCAAAAAGCCTCTGTGGGTAAACAGAGTTAAGTCCAGGAATTTATTAATTGTTTGGAAGACTGATTGTTTCTCCTTTTTGGGGTTTCCTCCAATAAGATCTGTGTTTGCATCACTTCCACTTTTAGTCGCATCAGATTTTCCAGCTTCCTGAAAAGATTCTTTAGCTTTAACTTTCCTTGGCTTGGTTGGCTTAGGCCCTATGGGTCGCATTAGGGCTCCAGCTACACAACAATTTAGCAGGAAGCCCCCAAGAATTAGGAAGCTTCCTCTCCAGCCAAAGATACCAAAGAAAGCCTGATTGAGAGGGGCCAGCGTAGAGAGGAACACAGGGCTGCCTGCCATGGCCAGCCCATTGGCCAGTGGTCTTCTCTTGTAGAAATACTTGCCGATCATGGTCAGAGCTGGATTCAAGTTGAAGGCAAGCCCAAGACCTGAGGAAGAGGGGGAAAAAAATCAAATACTAGAATAAGTATCAGAAATATCTCTGAAATTACTTACTCAAAGAAACTAAAATAAGAAGTATAAAAATAGAAAGGAGACAAAAATCATCATTATTAGAGGAAGTATTGTATAATAGCTTAAAGCATGGTTCTAAAACACAATATGGGCATAAATCAGAGCATCACTACTTGTTGGCTCTGTGATCTTAGACACGTGGACCTTCCTATGACTGTTTGCTAATGTGCAAAACAGACACAGGGCACTGCTATGAGGAAAAAAATATTTGCAAAGCACTTAGAACAGTGCCCAACATTTACTAGGCACTCGATAAATGTTATTTTTATTATTGTTGTTTTATTATTTGAAGATGAATAATTTGTATTTTGTCACATCTAATAAGATCACCTGGACAATTATTATAGCCATGTAAGATCATTAAACAGACTGTTAGCAAATAGAGATAAAACAGATTTACAATAGAAAGTGCAATACAAAATAATCTCTTTTATTATAGCACCAAAAATGAAAACTTTGCAGTTTATGGGATTCACATGAAACTTTCCTGAGAAGTCAGAGAATTAAGAACAATACTCATAAGACCGGCAGATGGTGTAATGGTTACATTGCTGGACTATCACATAGCTGACCACGGTTCAAGTCCCAAACTGGCAGCTTCAAACTTGCGCCAGGAACGTGTGTGTGAGTGCCCAAGACCCCAGGAAGAGAATGGAGAAGGGATTGTGGTATGGCTATCCTCCCTGGGTGGTGATTTCTCACATGCTGAATCCCTCTCTCTCTCTCTCTGGAGAGTGCATGCGCCCTACAGCAAAAATAGCTCAAAAAAAAAAAAATCCCAAAACAAAACAAAAATATAATACTCACACAAAATTTTGGGAAAATAATACACAACACTATCAAGAGGTCAAGGCAACCCAAACCAATGCGCCCATTTAATGTGATTCCAGTAAAAATGTTTGTGGATTTTGAGATGAGGTAAAATGGCTCTAAGGCATTCTCAGAGAATAAATACAGAAGAATCTACCACAACATTTTTGGTGATGTAGAGAGAGAAGTGGTACCAACCATAATAAATATTTAGGGACCAGCAGATGGTGTAATGGTTACCGCACTGGACTCCCACATAGTTGACCGTGGTTCAAGTACCAGACCCAGTGGCTTAACTCACACCAGGGGCATGATGCATGCGTGCCCAAGATCCCGAGAGGAATGGAGGAGAAGGGATTGCGGAGTGGCCACCCCACCCCCAACCCCCCGGGGGTGATTTCTCGCTTTCTGTCTCTCTGTTTCTCTCTGTCTTTCTGGCAAGTACACGAGCCCTATAGCAAAAACCTCTCTTAACAACAAACAAAAACAAAACAAAACAAAAAAATAGGTTATTTAAATTGTTTTGTAAAAGCTACAATCTGTAGAACAGTGTGTGTCCTTGTATCAAGAATAGGTAAACACTGATCAATGAAGGTGGACAGAAAGTCCAGAAACCAACCTAAAGTACACCCTCTCTCTCTCTCACACACACACATTTAATGTAAGATAAAAATGGTATTTTAAATTAGTGGAGAAAGAAGAAATTATTTAATCAACATTTCTAATAGAAGTAAATATTCAGGGGACTTCCTAAACGCTATCCCTGACCTCCGCTTGCTCCCTACCATCTATGCTTATTCCATTCCCAGAGGCTTAAACCAACAAAGCAGAGCAGGTGACTCCCCTACTTCAAACTTGGGATAGCTTCCTATCTACATCTTCAACCCAGCCCTTACTTCCTCTGTGCATGAACTCCAGACCACTCATACATGTGCTTTTATTAAGCATTCTAAAGTCTAGGGTCTATGTTCCCTTCATTTTCATAAAGCTGGTTCCTTGTTATTAAGATCTCTGCTTAAAGTCATCTTGTCAGCAAGACTGTCTCAACGAATGCCCAGTCCTCCCCTGTCACAACACTTTAAGGCTTTATGTAGCATTTATTACTACCTGATATTTTTCTTTAAAAACAGAGAAATTATTTATTTAATTCAATCTGTTATTGTTATTATTTTTAATTTGACCAGAGAGAGACAGAAAAAGAGAAAGGAAAGGGGAAAGCAAGCCACCAAGTCCAGAACTCAAACCGTAGTTGGCCATGTGGGAATTCAGCACCTTTAACCACCATGCCACCTGCTGCCCACCCACCCCCCGATATTTTTCTTATTTATTCATAATTTTTGAGTCATACTGTCTCCTCCTATTAAAGAGCATCATTTTGCCTGCCTTGATGCTCGATCTATATTGCCCCTAAAGTGGTTCCTGACATACATGTGGTTTTTGCTCAACAAATATCTCACCTACAGATTAATAATAAATAAACCAACAATTAGGGGCTGGCAGGTGGCATAGAGGTTGGGGGTACTGGATTCCCACAAGACCAACTGGGGTTCAAGTCCTGACCTGATGGGTTGCTTTCTCACTTTCCCTCACTCTCTCTCTGTCTCTCTCTGATCAAACTGGAAATAATAAAGTTAAATATTTTAGATTTTTTAAAAAGAATTATTAATTTAACTTTATTTGCTCATTTATTTATTTTAATTTGACCAGCAAGAGACACACACACACAGAGAAAGAGAGAGAGAGAGAGAGAAAGAGAGAAAGTAAGCCATCAGGTCCAGGACGCGAACTGTGGTTGGCCATGTGGGAGTGTCCTACTTGCTGGTCCCAATATTTTAGATCTTTAATGAGGGGAAAAAGTAAGAAAAGACTGAATATTAAAAATATCTTCAGAGCTAGTCCTGTGGCTTGGTATGTGGGAGTTGGATCTCACATGGACAGCCAAGAAGTTTGAATCCTGGTCCTGGCGGCTTAAAAAGCACTTGTGTGTGTGTGTGTGTGTGTGTGTGTGTGTGCGCGCGCGCACGTGTGTATGCCCCAAATCCCTGACAGAATGGAGAAATGGAAGAGAAGGGATTGTGGTGTGACCACACCCCACTATGGATTCTTTTTCCTTCTTTTTCTACCTCTCCCTGGCAAGGGCATGTGCCCTCTGGCAAGTAAAATTTGTATCTTCAGGGGCCATCCGGTAGCATGGTGGTTAAGGCATTGGACTCTCACATGGCCAACTGCAGTTTGAGTCCTAGGTGAATGTGCATGCATGCCTGAAATCCCAAGAGGAGAATGGAGGAGAAGGGATTACACTATGGCCATTCCCCTGGGGGTGACTTCTCATTTTCCCTCTTCTCTATCTCCTCCAGTTAGCACATGCACCCTATGTAAAAAAAAAAAAAAATAAAAAAAAACTCAAAAAAACCCAAAAAACAACACTAAAAAGTTATATACATACAATAGATTATTATTTAGCCTTAAAAAAAAATGGAATTCTAACACATGCTGAATAAACCTTGATGACATTATGCTGTGAATGAGCCAGTCACATAAATACAAATACCATATGATTCCACCTCTATGAAGTACCTAGAATAGTCAAATTCATTGACAGTGAAAGTAGAATGGTGATTGCCTGAAATTGGGACCAGAAACAATGGGGAGTTACTGTTTAGAGTTTTAGTTTTTTTTTGGAGAGGTTTTTGCTATAGGGTGTGTGCTCTCGCCAGAGAGACAAGAGACAGAAAGCGAGAAATCACCCCCCAGGGGGATGGCCACGCCGCAATCCCTTCTCCTCCATTCTCCTCTCGGGACCTCGGGCACACATGCACACGCACCTGGTGTGAATTTAAGCCACCGGGTCTGGGACTCGAACTGCAGTCAACAACATGGGAGTTCAGTGACACAGCCATTACACTAATAACTGCTGGTCCCCAAAGTTTTAGTTTTGCAAGGTGAAAAGTGCTTGGGAAATGGATGGTGGTAATGGTGATAACAAGGGTAAGCTCTCTCCTGTATTGCTGGCTGACTATAAATGGGCATTACCTTTCTAAAGGACAATTTAGCACATATATATTTAAAAAACACATACAGTAGTTCCATTTCTACAATTTTGTCTTAAGAAAGTACTAATATTTGCAAAGAACTATAACTTAATACTGCTTACTAACAGTAAAAAAAAAAAAAGAAAAATAAAAACTTGAAGCAAACAAAAAGCCCTATCAATAGTTAACAAAGTGACAGATCAGATGAAACTATGATGTGTCTCTATGTGATGGAATAACAGACTTTTTCCCCCCAGAGATTGAGATATTACATACCACAATTCTTAATTATAGGAGAAGATGCTTATAACAGTAGGAAAAAAGAAAAAAACTGGTTATAAAATGTTACGTATAGGGCCAAGTCTATAGTGCACGCAATGGTTAAATGTTATGCATTTGGAACCAGATCCCACAGGGCTGACCATGACTTGAATTCTACATGACTTGAGTTCTATCCCTGGTGGCTTAAAAGACTCTGTGTGTGTGTGTGTGCGTGTGTGTGTGTGTGTGTGTGTGTGTACGTGCACACACTCACATGCACACAGAAACATATATATTCATGCAGGAATCCTGACAGGATGGAGAAGAAAAGGACTGCAGCCTGACCAAACCCCACTGGGGTTGCTTCCCCGCTCTCAAGTGAGAACATGTACTCTCTGGCAATTAAAACAAAAAAGGTTATTCATAACTTGGAGCTGCATGGCTGCACAGAGGTGAAATGCCATCCTCTGCAAGGCCAAGAAGGTTCTGGATTCATGTCTAGTGACCTTCCTGAGTATACTGGGCACACATGTGCCCATGATCTGGGGCTGGCTGAAGGCTGGGTGTGGATCATAGTATGAAGACCTTGTTAGCTATGCTGTCTGTCTTGGTCTCTCTCTCACTCATGGAAAAAATAAATATACTTAAAAAGAAAAGGCCACGCTGCTATTTAGAGTGGCTATACCACTTAAAAAGATTATATAGGGCCAGCAAGAGGAAGCATGTATTTCAAAAAGTTAATAGTGACACTGTTGGTAAAAATATAAATTAGCCATTATGGAAAACAGTGTAGAGGTTTCTCAAAAAACTACAACTAGAACTGTCACAATAGTCAAGATATGGAATCAATCTAAGTGTCTATTAACAGGTAATTAAGGAAAATCCCCTTCTTCCATTTCTCCACCCCATGAGAATTCTAGGCATGTGCTTCAAGCCACTGGAACAGAGATTCGAATTGTGGTCAGCTATGTGGGATCTGGCTCCCTACATACTGCACTTAACCACTGTGCTACAGGGCTGGCCCAACATATACACAATTATAGTCAGAGAAGAGGAATAAGTTCTAGTGTTCTATAGCATGGTAGAGTAACTAGAATTATAATAACTTAGTATATATTTCAGAATAGCTAAAGAGGATTTTAAGTGTTCTCAATACAAAGTAGTAATAAATGATAGAAATACTTAATGCCCTAATTTGATACATTACACATTGGATTCATGTATTGAAAAATCACACCGTGCCCCATTGATATGTATACTTATATGTGGAATACAAATTTTAAAGATCAGCCCTGTAGCTTAATAGTTAGAGAGTCTGATCCCACATGGCTGTGGTTCAAATCCCAGCCCCAGTGGCTAGAAAAACACCAGGCTTGTGTGCATGTGTGCCCCCAAATCCTGAAAGGATGAAGACATGGAGAGAATGGATTTCAGAATGACTATACCCCACTGTGGGGTGTTTTCTCCCATTTTGTCCCTGGAAACAACAACAACAAAAACTTTTAAATGTTATTAGTGATATCCTTTGGATTATAAAGTTATAAGTGATGTTTATCCATTATACTCATCAGCAATCCATTAATTTGCTGATTAATAAAAGAGGGAAGGGACTTAACCAAGTGTATCCAACATTGAAAAAAAATGTTATCAAGACATACTATAATAACTCTTACTTTATGTGTAACATGCTCTTCTGCTCAATAGAAACCTATTCCCCTTGTGAGGAGGTGGTAAGGAGAGAGAATAACCAATATTCATTCTTGTGACAAGGTGAAAAACACATTTACAACACTGTCTGTTCTTAGGAAAATGAATGCAATCATCTCTTTCAATTCATTCCTTCATTCAACAAGCAATACGTACATTTATTTATTTATTTATTTTAGAGAGATTTTACTACAGGGCATGTGAGCTCACTAGAGAGACAGAAAGTGAGAAGTCACCCCCCGGGAGGGATGGCCATGCTGCAATCCCTTCTCCTCCATTCTCCTCTAGGGATCTTGGGCACATATGCACATGCACCCTGTGTGAGTTGAAGACACAGGGTCTGGGATTCAAACCGTGGTTGACTACATGGGAGTCTGGCAATGTAGCCATTACACCATCTGCTAGTCCCTCTCCTCTCGAAGTACTGGGCACGCATGTACATGTGCCCGCCATGAGTTTTAAATCCAGTAGGTCCAGAACTTGAACCATAGCCAGTCATGTAGGAGTCCAGTGATATAACCATTATGCCATCTGCTGGTCCCAATAAATGTGTATTATAGTTGCAATTTCTTTAAAAGTTCGATTTTTCTAGTATCATGTTAATTTATCTACAGTTCTTTAAAATGATAATACAATAATTTCTATGGAGCCAGTGGCAGCACAGCTAGACCCAAGAGAGGGTTCTTGTGTTTGCATATTGGGACCTCCCTGGGCACACCAGGAATGCTTGCTGTGATCCAAGCTAACGGACTGGGGGTGGACGCGGTATTGGAAAACTATTGGCATGCCTCTCTTTCTGTCTCTTGATCAACACCTTTTTCTTGTGAAAGAAAGAAGTAAGACTTCAAAAAGAAAAACCATTTCTAGTGGCCAGCAGGTGGCATGGTGGTTAAAGGCGCTAGACTTTGGCCGACCACGATTTGAGTCCCAGACCTAGTGGCTTGCTTTCTCACTTCCCCTCTCTCTCTCTCACTCTCTCTCTCTCTCTGGTCAAATTAAAAGAAGCAAATGAATAAAGGTAAATAAAGTAATTTTTTAAAAAAAACTTAAGAATCATTTCTGTAAGAAAAAATTTCACTCGGGGTCAGCAGGTGACATAGTGGTTGAGATGAAGGACTCCCACATGGCTGACCACAGCTGAGTCCTGGACCTGGCAACTTGTTTTCTCACTTTCTCTCTCTCTCTCTCACATGAGATCCTGTGCTCTGTAGCAAATTGAAAATAATAATGATAAATAAAATTAAGTAAATAACTTTTAAAGAAAAAGATTTCACTGAAAAGGGCTAGAAGGCAAATGCAAATATCAAATAGCCAGCAATAAATTAATGCTTGAAAACAAATCAGTAGTAACTCACCTCCAATGACTCCGATACACAAGTAAAGCTCCTGAACGGTGTTACAGAAAGAAGCTGCAATCAAGCCACAGCCTGACAAACAGCCTCCAACTATCATCACTGGACGGCTGCCATATTTATTCACCAGGATGCTGCTGATCGGGCCTAGGAGAGAACCAAAAATTTAACAGTGTAAAGGAACTTGCTCCCTTATATCTACATCAAGCATGAATAATAATAAATGACAAGATCTTCTAAATAAACGAGATAATGGTAAAATTATTGTTTTCTACCATTAATTCTGAGTCACAGGTATGTGTACTAGAAAATAAAACTGCTAAAAAAAGGCCAGCTAGTGGGATGGTTAATGCAGCCTGGATTGCATACGGCATCTGGCAGTTAAGAGTCCCTGACCAGGTGGGCTTCAAACATACACCAGGCATGTCTCTGTGTAGATGCCTCAAATCCCAAAATGGGAATGAAGAAGGGAGTGTGGTATGGCTATCCCAGGCAGAGTGCTTTCTCACCCCTGTCCCCCAATCTCTTTCCAGAGAGTTCTCGCACCTTACAGGAAACTTTTTTTTTTTTTTTGAGAGGTTTTTGCTATAGGGCATGAGCACTCGCCAGAAAGGCAGAGAAAGAGAGAGAGAGAAAGTGAGAAATCACTATTGGGGGATGGCCCACACCACAATCCCTTCTCCTCCACTCTCCTCTCAGGATCTTGGGCACACACGCACAAGTGCCCAGCTTGAGTTGAAGCCACTGGGTCCGGGACTCGAACTGTGGTCAACTACATGAGAATCCAGCAACATAGCCATTACACCATCTGCTGGTCCCAACCTTATAGGAAACTTAAAAAGCAGGGACCGGCAGATGGCATTATGTTGCTGGAATCACATGTACTTGACCGGGGTTTCAGTATGAGACCCAGCGGCTTATGTGTCAAAAATCCTGAGAGGAAAATAAAGGAGAATGGATTGCAGTGTGGCCTCCGGGTGATGATTTCTCACTTTCTATCTTTCTGGTGAGTGCATGCACCCTATAGCAAAAAATCTCTCTCAAAAGAAAAAAAAGGTGGGAACCAGCAGTTAGCGTAATGGCTATGTTGCTGGATTCTCATGTAGTTGACCACAGTTCGAGTCCCGGACCCAGTGGCTTAAAACTCGCGCCGGGTGCGTGTGCGTGTGTGCCCAAGATCCCGAGAGGAGAATGGAGGAGAAGGGATTGTGGCATGACCATCCCCTCTGGGGGGTGATTTCTCGCTTTCTGTCTCTATGTCTCTCTCCATCTGTCTGGCGAGCGCACGCGCCCTATAGTGAAAACCCTCTCAAAAAAAAAAAAAAAAGGTGCAAAATATTATTAATTGTGCATGTTCCACAATCAGAAATACAGTAAACTTACTCAAATAAAAAAGATCTAAGTATATCCTTTAATCTCTCTTTTTTAAGGCAAGACAGGCTGAAAACACTTTGTTAATGAATGTTCACAAGGTTCTTGATGTATCTAGGATATGATTAACACTTATTTAGTTTGTTTTCATTTTGACAGGCACACAAATATAAGATTTGTGGACACATTTCGATAGGTTTTTGATTATAGAGCATTATTCATATATTACCAAAATGTGATCTGTATCATATTTTTAAAGAAGAAAGAAAGCACAGAACCCTTGTCAACGGCTTCAGGAATTTTTTCTTTGTAGTAAAAATGACAATCAATGATGCTGCTCTGAAGAGACCAGAAGAGTGGAGAGGCAGAACAAATCACTGAATACCTTTTTTTTTGAGAGAAATTTTTGCTATGGGGCGTGTGTGCTCATTAGAGAGACAGAAGAGACAGAAAGCAAGAAATCACCCCCCCCACGGGGAGATGGCCACACTGCAATCTCTTCTCCTCCACTCTCTACTTGGAATTTTGGGCACACACGCACGTGTGCCTGGAGTTTTAAGCCACCGGGTTCGGGACTCAAACTGTGGGTGACTACGTGGGAGTCCAGTAATTTAACCATTATGCCATCTGCTGGTCCCAATCATTGACTATCTTTTATTTATTTATTTTTTTGAGATGTTTTTGCTATACGGCGTGTGTGCTTGCCAGAAGGACAGAGAAAGACAAAGAGAGAGAAAGCAAGAAATCACCCTCCTGGGGGCTGGCCACGTTGCAATACCTTCTCCTCCATGGATCTGGGGCATGCACGCACACATGTCTGGCATGAGTGTAAGTCACCGGGTCCAGGACTCGAACTGCACTCGACTACATGGGGGTCCAGCAACATAACCATTACGCCAACTGCTGGCCCCCCAATTATTGAATATCTTAAATAGGAAGTTGCTCTACTTAAGGAGACAACAATTTCGTAGGCAATTTTAAGAGAAGAAACTTTGAGTTGAAAATGCTAAATTGGGCCAGCAGGTGGCGTGATGGCTAAGGTGTTGAACTCCCACATGGATGACCGTGGTTCAAGCCCGACTTGGCAGCTTGAAAATCATGCTAGGCATATGTGTGTGCGTGCCCAAAAATCCCAGGAGGAGAATGGAGAAGGGACTGTGGCATGGCGATCTCTCCAATCACTTTCTCTCTTACCGTCTCTGCCACTCTGGTGATCACACACTCCTTATGGCAAAAACCTTAAAAAAGAAAATGTTAAACAAAGAAGAGAAATGGAACTAAAATAAAAGTTAATTCAGGCAGAAAATTAAAATGGAGTGAAAAATATCATGCCTACCTAGCATTCCACCGCAATCTAATTATTTGCACTATAGAGCATTAATACAGAAGGATAGAAGGAAAAGATTTGATGCTGGAACTTGCAAAAGACCCATCACATTTCTCTACTATTAACAGCAAATTCTGACCTTATTCTGTTTATTTCTTAGCCCTCTAAAAGGTAGCAAATATATTTTTAACACCATATACTGTATTTACATATTCATAATATACTAATGATCCTATACTGGCATGTTCTATTTCCATAAATACAGAAATTTCTAGTTACATATTTTGTCCCAAAGTTGTAAGATTTGCCCCAGGAAATCCTAACTCAAATTATGGTTCTACCCCTTTCTTCCCTTTGGGCACGTTTTTTATTTATTTATTTTTTTTAAATTGAGGTTTTTGTTATAGGGCACTTGCTCTAGCAGTAGAAACAGAGGTGAGAAATCAGCCCCAGGGAGGATGGCCACTCCACAATCCCCTCTCCTCATTCTTCTCTTGGGATTTTGGGCACACACGCATGTGCCTAGTGTGAGTTTTAAGCTGCTGGGTCTAGGACTCAAACTGCAGTCGACTAACGTGCGAGTCCAGTGATATAACCATTACACCATATGCTAGTCCTCACATTCTTCACTGTTTCTTAGAGGTCATCTAACTTCTAGAGATGTTAAAAAGATTAAAAAAAAAAAAAAAAAGGCTAGCCTCTGTGACATAGCAGTAGTGCAGTACCCTGGGGTAAGGCTGGAAGCCGTATGATGGCTTGAGTTCCTCAGGTCAGCCTGAAAACATAGCAGGTATGTGCACAGACGCTCAAGATCCTGAGAACCTGGAGGGCTAGGGAAAAGGATCATGGCGGGATAAGACCCTGTGGGGATGCTTTCTCTTTCATGTGTTCATATTCATGCTGTTATTAAAAAAAATAAACTATTAGATGGGGTATGTTTAGTAGAGCCTCAATAAGCACTGGTAGCAGTAATGACGACACAAGTACGCATGCTTATTTTGCTTTCATGCACCTTCCTGCTCTCTCCATCTTCATAAATCTAGATGTCATTAAGGCATGTTCATATGCAGATAATAAGTATACAGGAAGTAAAAAAAGCTTTGGATTATCCCTGTGTTTTGGGGAACCAAATCTCCCTAACAGGCTGGGTCAAGAACTGGCTGACGGGAGAGACTTCGACCTCAACCCAGGATATGTAAAAAGCAGTTTTCATTGCTACCCTCTAAGTCACTACTATGACCTAAATGTTAGTGTTCTCCCAAAATTCATGTCAAAACCCAACCACAATGCAGTATTATTAGTAGGTAATGGGATCACCAAAGCTATTGGGATCAGTCCCATCATAAAAGAGGTATAAGGGGCCTCCGGGTAAAGGGAAGAAGATTACACATGTTTGACTGCACCGTTAAAATCCTGGTCTGGGTGGCTTGAAAAAAAATGTCAAGTACATGTGCATACATGCTTAAAATCCTGCAAGGATGGAAAAAGGTGAGAAGTTACCATGCCCTACTAGGGAGTGCTTTCTCTCTCTCTCTGAAGCATTTATGTCCTCTGGCAATTAAAAAAAAAAAAGCCAAAAAAAAGAGGCTATGGGAGCTTATCATCCATTATGCTAAGTGATGACATACCTAGATGGAACTTTCTAGGTTCCATCAATGAGGAACAGGCTCTCAGCAGACAGATTCTGCTGTGATTTTGAACTTTCTAGCATCTACTACTGACAATAAATGCCTAACGTTTGTAAGTTACTTAGTCTAAGGCATTTTTTTAAGCAGTTAGCATAGCTACTTCATGCAAATATTAGGTCACTGGTAATGTGAAAATGAGTTTACAGCTTGTGTAAATTGAAAGAACTGAATAGTGAAAGCATTTTTGGAGATATTTCCATATAAATTAGTCATGAGATTTTGTACAGTCAGAACTACAAAGATCAATACTGCCACACTATTTACTCTGTGAGGTAGAAGTTAAGGCTACAAATTTTGTAGTATTTGAACTTCCAAATCAGGACTGTTAAGATGACTGAAAATATAAAAAAAAAATTTCATGTTTTAAAAAAGAAAAAGGGGCCAGTGATGAAGGCACTGGACTCCCACATGGTCAATGATGATTTGAGTCCAAGACCCAGCAGCTCAAAAATCCAGCAGCATACCCAAAATCCCAGGAGGAGAATGGAAGAGAAGGGACTGTGGCATGGCCATCCCCATGGAAGGTGATGTCTCATTTTCCCTCTCACTGTATCTCTGTCTCTCTCCAGCAAGTGCACATGCCCTATGGCAAAAACCTTTAAAAGGGAGTAGGGAGCAGCAGGTGATATGGTGGTTAAGGTGCTGGACTCTATATAGGCAACTGTGGTTCAAGTTCCAGACCTGGAAGGTTGCTTTCTCACTTTCTCTCTCTGGTGAGTACACATATCCTATAAGCAAAACTGAAGAATAAAAATAAGTAAAATTAAATAATTCTTTTTTTGGGGGGAGAGGGTGCTATAGGGTGCATGTGCTCACCAGAAAGACAGAAAGCAACAAATCACCCCCCAGGGGGAATGGCCACGCCGCAATCCCTTCTCCTCCATTCTCTTCTTGGGATCCTGGGCAAGCACACACACATGCACCCAGTGTGAGTTTAAGCCACCGGGTCCTGGACTCAAACTGTGGTCGACTATATGCGGGTCCAGTGACATAGCCGTTACACCAACTGCTGGTCCCGAAATTAATTCTTTAAAAAACCTCCTTTTGATGGGAACCAGCAGTTAGCGTAGTGGCTACGTCACTGGACTCCCATATAGTCGACCGCGGTTCGCGTCCCGGACCTGGTGGCTTAAAACTCACGTCGGGCGTGTGTGTGTGCGTGCCCAAGATCCCGAGAGAATGGAGGAGAAGGGATTGCGGTGTGACCATCCCCCCTGGGGGGTGATTTCTCACTTTCTGTCTCTATGTCTCTCTCTGTCTGGCGAGTGCACGTGCCCTATAGTGAAAAACCTCTCCTAAATAAATAAATAAATAAATAAATAAATAAAACCTCCTTTTGAGAGACTAGCAGCTGGCAGAATGGCTATTGTCGCTGTATTCCCATATAGTGGACTGCGGTTTGAGTCCCGGACCCGGTGGCTTAAACTCACACCGGGCACATGTGCATGTGTGCTCAGAAGCCCAAGAGGAGAATGGAGGAGAAGGGATTGCGGTGTGACCATCCCCCCTGGGGGGTGATTTCTCACTTTCTGTCTCTATGTCTCTCTCTGTCTGGCGAGTGCACGTGCCCTATAGCAAAAACCTCTCCAAAAAACAAACAACAATAACAAAAAAACACCTCTTTTCTAGGCCAGCAGGTAGCATGGCAGTTAAGATGCTGGATACTCTATAGCTGACCATGGTTTGAGTCCCAGACCTGGTGGCTTGCTTTCTCACTTTCCTTCTCTCTGTGTTGTCTTTCTCTGGTCAAATGAAAATAAATGAATGAATAAATAAAATTGAATAAGTAATTATTATATTTATAAATATTATAATTGAATAAGTAATTATAATATTTATAAAAATATTTATTTAATTTCATTTATTAATTCATTTTCATTTGGCTACAGAGAAAGAGAGAGAGAGGGCAAGTGAAAAAGCACATCAACAGATCCGGGACTTGAACTGTGATCGGCCATGTGGAAGTGTCCAGCGCCTTAACCAACCACACCACTTGCTGGTCCCCTAAATAATTCTTTTTTTAAAAAAAAATAAAATAAAACACACAAAAAAACCTGCTTTCTGAAAAATATACTTACTTGCACTCTAACAACCATCCGTACTTATTATCTATGACCCAAAGGACTAAAAGAGAAATCATTCAAAACTTGAAATATATTAGTGTTCGGAATGTGGTCTAAGTGCATAAGTAAAAGCATTATGACAGTTGTGAAAGTGATATATTTTTTTCTTTAGAGGTTTTTGTCTTAGGGCACGTGCATTCACTGGAGAGAGAGAGAGACAGTGAGAGGGAAAGTGATCAATCACTGCCCCAAAGGTATGACTGGGATCTTGGCCATGCACACACACGCACCTGGTAAGAGTTTCTTTTTATACTTTTTTTCAGAAAATTATTTTAATAGTTACAAAACTTTTTTTTTTAACAGAATCAATATAAAGTGGCAATTTATTTCTCCATAATTATCAGAATTATTCTTATTTAAGGTCTTGGCTAAGTGGGGCTGAAATTAACAAAAAGTCTTGGACTGTTGGCTCAGTAATCCTAGGAAGACCACCTGTTGATATCTGTCATGCTTAGCTTTTATAAGATGACCAGGTCCTTTAAAAAAAAGTTTCTTTCTTTTTTTATTCATTCTTTGGAGGCTTAAAGTGAATTCAGAAGTATTCATTAAATACCTTCCAGCTTCTGTCATTTAGCACTTCTCCAACATTCAGTTCTGATTACATCCATTTCAACCTTGTCTGCTCTTTTCCAAGTTGCTTTACTAATGCTGAATCATCCAAATTCTTTTCTCTCTCTTCTTGGAGGCTTTTTACTACTCCTGAGGTCTGGACTATACAGTTTTTATGATTCTGTCCCTACTGGCATGAGCTGCCATCAAAGACTCATAAAGTTGTGTACAGGTTTGGCTGGCACCAATTTTCCCTGCAAACGAAGTTGCTGGAACAGTAGTGTTTAATTCATGTACTATTTTGTCATCAACTGTCCTCATCACATTGAGTAATTCCTGGAACTCGGCGAACTCTTCGCAGTTCACATTGCCACTGGGTGCTGCCATACTGGACCACCTGGTGTGAGTTTCAAGCCACCAGGTTCAGGATTCAAACTGCATTTAATCATGTGGGAGTCCAGTGACATGACTGCTCCGCCATCTGCTGGCCCCATTTCTCAAGAGAAAGAGTACTCAGAAGCCAATCAAAATAAAATAACCTGTTTGGTAAAAAAATCTGCTACAAGATTCATGACAGGCAATTTGTCCTTTAGACTATTTCAGGAAGGATGGCCTTAATTAGCTATAATTAAAAATAGAGAAGAAAATAGTTTATAGGCGTACTATAACACGAACTCAGAAATGTGCCAGTTATCTCACTAACTGGGTAAGGACAAAGAAGGAACTGTTTCCCCAAATAAAGTGTCATGTGCAATTAGCACAACTGACATCATTTACTTGATGCAAAATGCAAGTGGCTCTCAAGCTCTTTGGCAGCTCAGAATAATGACATGTAAGCCTCTGGTTTGTAGTCAGCTTAAGATATACTGAACACCCAGAGTACCTCTGGATAATACTTATACCAATTTCTTTAAGTCATCGTAATCAAAACATGATCAGAAATCCTGGCAAATTGGAGTTCAAAGCCTGCAAATTATTGGCTCTCAGAAGCCAGATAATGTCTAATGTACTTTTCAGTATCTTTGAACTTTTTAAAAAATAAGTACTGCAGCTTAGCACTTGGGTTCCTCACAAATATATTTAATTTGGCATGGTGGTTAAGGTGTTGTATCCCACATGGCTGAATCAGCAGTTCAAGTCCTGGACCTGGTGGCTTAAAAAAAAATTCTGGGCGTGTGTGTGCCTATCCAAAATCCAGAGAGGAGAACAGAAAAGGGATTTTGGCATGGTCATCCACCCTCAGGGGTGAATTCTCACTTTTCCTCTCACTCTGCCTCTCTCCAGCAAGCGCATATGTCCTATGGGGAAAGAAAAAAATTTAATAGACAAAACAGATGTAAATTCAAAAGTAAAAGGCACAAAATGATACTCAGTGGAAAAAATAAGTCTTCCCCTCCCTATTTCCAGTCATCCAGTTTCTCTCCCCAAGATAACCAGTTAACTGTATCTTCTGTGCAATTTAATTATGTGATTATGATGAACTACTTACTCCTGTTTTACAAGCTTACACTACTATTGTCTCAAAAATATTATAAACTTCTCAAAGGAAGGAATCAGTATTGGTGCTCTCATCACTCACAATACATAGTCCAGTGCTGAATATATTCATAGGGCTAAAGAGGTATTGGTTAAATATGCCAATATTCCAACTCTGCAGCCTAAGTAAGGCTCAGCTATTTACGGTTGCAATGTAGAATCCTCACATTGGCTATTAAGAAGCCACATGTGAGAATAATCTGAGGCATTAAATTGCCTCCCCAAACAAGATTAACAGAAGTGAAAGTTTGGTTAAATAAGCAGTGCAAGACACTCAATCTCAGGAAATACATTGTATTTTAAGTATGTAGGTTTAACTTTTAAGTGCTAAATTGTGGTAATTGTGGTATTAAAACAAGTCGTAATTTAAATGATGTTAAGTAAGCAACTTCCTTCATAGTATGCCAAAAAGGAAAGAAAACAGAGGGAAAGAAATGATAAAACTCAAATTTACAGTTCAGCTGAAATGCTTTTGGGACTCAACATACAAGGAATAAGGGGAGGCTTAACTTAGTTCTTTAATTCTAACACCATGAAAATAGTTGGCCCAAAACTTTGTGAACTATGCTATTCGGGTCTGCCTGATTTATTTGAATTCTTCCAACATCAATTTTCAAAAATTAATTATTTATTTACATTTTCAGAGTCTAGCAGAGAGTAACAAGAAAACCAGTTGTGCACACATCATTTTCATTAGTTTTTAAGCTCAAAATTACTTGAGCTGGAAGAAATGAGTGCTCCTCACAATCTCATTTTTGCTTCAGAATACTACAGTCGAACAAATAAGGTAAGAGTTGCTGTTGCTATCACAAATGAACAATGTGATTCGAAACACAAACCTTTAAGAAATAATATTTCAAAGCATCTAACTGAATAAAACATTTTCTGAAAACTTAATAAAGAAACTCTAGCCACTTAATGAAATGTAAAGAGGTCGTCTCTGGGGGTACTTACCTCCACCATACATGACCGCTAACATGATGGAGGAAATCCACGACACTTCGCTAGTGCTGGCATTGAATATACCTTCAATTTCTTTGAAGAACACAGTAATGGATTTGGCAAAGGCATATGAAAAGCCGATGGAAATGAAAGCTCCAACTACTACTGCCCACCCCCAGCCTCCATCTGGGGGGGTATATCCTACTGGACCTCCAACTGCTGGTGGCATTTTATGTGTAGATGAATTCCAATATTCAGCTCAAATCCAAATATCTGAAAGATATAAAGTCAAAACAGTACGTCAACAATAAAGCACCTCTGTAAAAGCGCTTTGTGTAGTAAAGTAAATGTTTTTTGGTCTTTGTCCCCAGTTCTTGGCACAGAGTTCCTAAATCCCTTCCCATTTTCGGAGGGATAAGAGTGAAGGGAGCATCTTTTAAATACTTTTTTTGTAAAGTTTTCCCATTTCTTCCATAAAAGAAAGACAGCACTGCCCAATAGGTCTCTGATTCTACGATCCACCCGTACCTTGCCCCAAACCAAAGGCACATGCACACCTAGGCCACTCAGGGAGGTTCCCAGACATGAACCTGAGACCCTCCCACGTGGGTTAGCCTTATAGTGTCACATACACCACTGTGCCATGGTCCAGCCATCTTTTAAGTAATATTTGGTTTTTGAACAGAGTTCCTAAAACTTTCTAAGTGATGTAAGAGGTTTTTTGATTGTTTGCTTTTGAATTTTCCAGAGGGTATGTGCCTGCGCTAGAGAGGCAGAAAGGAAAAATGAGACCCCCGCCCCCCGTGAGGGGTGGTCACACACCGCAATCTTTTCTTCCTCCTGTTGGAATTTTGGGCAAGCATGCACATGTGCCCATTGTGTTTCTCAAGATGCCAGGTCTGGGTGTTGAACTGGGCAGCTGATCACATGAAATCTAGCTGCCTCAAACACCAGGCACCTGGCAGTTTTTTTTTGCCAGACAGCATGTGCACTCCAGGGAAAGATCAAAGGAAAAGTCAAAAAGTACCCTGGAATGGTCACACATGACCTCATCTCCATTTCTCCCTTTCAGGATTTTGGGCATATAGGCACTCATGCTTAGCATGTTTCTCAAATTGCTGGGTCTGGAACTTGAATCATGTAGTCAGCAATGTTTTATTTAAGCCAACTTCCACCCTGTGTCATAACTTGTCTTGTATATTTGCGTGTCCATTTCAGATTACCTCCACTCATACTATATTCCAGCAATAAACACAGGTTAGAGATGACAAGTTCACTCTTGACTACTATGTTCTGTAGTCTGAGACACACATCTTAGCTTCATAACAATTGCTATTGTTAGGAGCTAACTCCTAAATACTGCTTCTTCCAAATGATCTGAACATTTCAAATACAACACTTTGAATACAATACAACACTGGATGTTGCAGGAGTAGGAAGAAATAGCTTCATATGTGCATGTCCCAAATATCAATGGATGGGAAAATGGGAAGAGAAAGAATTATGACATGACCATGCCCCATGAGGGGAGCTTTCACCCTCTTTATCTGTCTCTCTGGCAAACACACACACCCTTTGACAATTAAAAAAACTGGTGAGGGACCGGCAGTTAGCATAATGGCTATGCCACTGAACTCCCCTGTAGTCGACTGCGGTTTGAGTCTCGGACCCGGTGGCTTGAACTGGGTGCGTGTGCATGCGTGCCCAAGATCCTGAGAGGAGAATGGAGGAGAAGGGATTGCGGCATGGCCATCCCTCCCAGGGGGTGATTTCTCGTTTTCTGCCTCTCTTTCTGGCGAGCGCAAGCACCCTATAGCAAAAACCTCTTAAAAAACAAACAAACAAAACCAACAAACAAAAAACTGGTGAATTTTACTGTACGTAAATTATACTTCAATAAAGCCAATAGAGGGACCAGCAGTTGGCGTAATGGCTATGTCACTGGACTCCCCTGTAGTCAACCATAATTCGAGTTCCGGATCTGTGGCTTATACTCATGCTGGGCATGTATGCGTGCGTGTCCAAGATCCCAAGAGGAGAATGGAGAAGGGAGTATGGCATGGCCATCTTCCTGGTGGGGGGGATTTCTCTCTTTCTGTCTCTGTATTTCTGGCAAATGCACGCGCCCTATAGCAAAAACCTCTTAAAAATAAATAAATAAATAAATAAATAAATAATGCCAATAGAAAAGAATAATTTCAAGAACTGCAACAAAGGAGATACAATCTGTTCTGTGCCACCAAGGAGACAACAGAGGCACAAGGAATGCAAATTACTGTCTTGGATATGTGGATGGTTAAAAGACAGGGGAAAAGGCAGAAAGAGGACAAAGAAAAGGATGAAGAAGATGGAAGACTTTTCTGAAAATTCACAACTACAGGCCTGGAGTGAACTGAAGCTTGGCGGGGCATTGTCAGTGGGAAAACTCTGTTGTTCTTCCAGAGATGTACTATGTTTGACTTTGCTAGCAAAGATTTCTCACAGACAAAGACCTGTCAAACAAGCTCACAATCTAAAATTCAGAATACATCGAGTCAATTAACCATGAATACAAGTAAAGCCAATCTAACAGTGGGATTAGACACTCAAGAACCACAGATTCTAGAATATGAATATTTAAATGATCAAAGTCATGAAGGCATTAAACATACTAGGATAAAAGATACTATCCCAAAAGACTAATGTCCAGCAAAAGAAAACATGATTTCTTAGTTTGATGAAACAAAGGGGGGGAAAAAAACACACCTTTAAAAGCAGCCACAAGGGACCAGCGGTTAGCGTAATTTCTATGTTGCTGGACTCCTACGTAGTCAACCGTGGTTCAAGTCCCAGACCCAGTGGCTTAAACTCATGCTGGGCGCGTGTGCGGGTGTGCCCAAGATCCCGAGAGGAGAATGGAGGAGAAGGTATTGCGGCGTGGCCATCCCCCCTGGGGGGGTGATTTCTCGCTTTCTGTCTCTCTGTCTCTCTGTCTTTCTGACAAACACATGTGCCCTATAGCAAAAACCTTCCCAAAAAAAGAAAAAAGAAAAAAAAAGCAACCACAGAAGATATAGTTTACACAACTAACAGATAATCATGCTGACAAAACAGATTTCTCATCGATTTTGAAAAATTCTCCCCTACTCTGGTCTGAGAAGTATTTCATGTTGGGCAAAGTCTTTTTACAAGCAAAATGATAAATAGCGATGGAATGTTTTAAAAAAACGGGAATAATAATAATAATCTGGAAAAAATAATGAAAAGTTATTGGATGATGATGATAGGGAAAAAGAAATGTAATACACTGTAAAGTTATATTTGATTCAATGTAATATAAACAAGACTATGATAATAATAAATAACTTTTAAAAAAAATTCTCCCCTACTGTATCTTCAAAAGTTGCTTCTTCCCTATTGTCTCTTTCTACCCCTCTGAGACTCCAACAATTAGATCTTCTTTGGATCCTTCTACAATATCTACTCTCCCTTCTGATTTTCTTCTTTTCCTTTTTTTAGTTTTTTTTTTTTTTTTTTGCTAAAGGGTACTTGTGTTCACCCAAGAGACAGAGAGAAAGGGAAAGTGAGATAGCAAACCCCCAAGGGGGACAGCCGTGCAGCAATCCCTTCTACTCCATTCTCTTAAGATACTGGGGACACACACATGACTGTCGTGTTTCTTCTCTTTTTTAAAGAATTATTTCACTTAATTTTATTTATCCATTTATTTATTTATCTATTTTTAAATTTGACCAGAGAGGGACAGAGAGAAAGTGAGAAGGCAAGTTGCTAGATCCGGGACTTAAACCACAGTCAGCCATGTGGTAGTCCAGCATTCTTAACTCCCACGCCACCTGCTGGCCCCGCGACTGTTGTGTCTTTCAAACGACCAGGTTCAGGACTTTAACCCACACAGTAAGCCATATGGGATCCAGCCACCCTAACCACCATACCATTGACTGGCCCCTGAATTTCCTATTTTCCATCCTTTGGCTATTCTATACTTCACTCCAGATGTTTTTTTCTGGCTCCATTAGCCAAATTGAATTTAGCCAATTCAATCTATGGAAAGTACCCACCATATAACCTGACTGACTAGTCCTTGTCTTCAAGCAAATCAAGTAAAAGAAGTTTGTTGAACAAAATCACAGTTGTTTTTTTTTTGACTATCAGAGGGCATGAGCATTTGCCAGAGAAAGAGTACATACAAGTACCCTCCAAGAGGGTGCTGTGATCTAACACCATCCCTCTTCCTCTGTTTTAAATATTCCTAGCGTGTTTTTCAAGTTGCTGTGGCTGGAATTCAAACCATGCTAACCCATGTGGAATCTGGTTCCCTTAACCAGGGCTGGCTCACACATTGGTTTTCCAAAGCTATTTATTTTCTTGGGCCAGCCAGTGGTGTGGTGACCCGGTAGGTGAGGTGGCTGGATCCCACATAGCTGACTACATGGTTCGAGTCCCAGATTGGTGACTTGAGAACAAGCCAGGCATGTGTGCATGTGTGCACAAAAACCCAAGAGGATATTGGAGAAAAAGGGACTATAGCAGAGTCATCTTCCCTGGGGGATGCTTTCTCACTTTCCTTCTTGTCTCCCTCCAGTGAGTACATGTGCTCTACAGCAAAACTTTTTTTAAAGTTACTTCTTACAAGAAAGAAACAGATAGGCACCTCTGAGAGAATCTTACCCCATGGTGCTTCTGCCTCAGCCTCCCAGTGTTCCAGTATTTCTGACCTAACCTTCTTTGGATAGCTGTCATGAAATTCTTACTAAGGTTATGCATTCTGGAATCTACCCTTCCTTTGGGTCCCCAGAAATTTTTATTGAACCACAGTAAGAAGTGGGAAGAGCGAGAGAAATACCTTTTTTCTGTTGTAGGGGGAAGGGTTTTCAATAAAGTAAACTGGAAAAGAAGCAAAAGACCTCGTTCTTATCCATTTTCAGCAAGGATGATTAAGACTACATCTGACTCTTAAGAATCTGAAGAATAATTTTCTTAAAAATGTAATCCAATTTGAGATTTAAGATCTTTATCATAGGGCATGTGACACACCGATGATTCAAGCAGGACAAAAATATATACAAGTTAAGGTTTCCTAAAATTTTGACTGGATGACTATAATAAATATCTAAGGCCAGCTGCCATGGCACAGCAGTAAGGTCAGTGCTCTAGAGTTGGCCTGAAAAACAAGCCGGGCCTGCGCCTGAGTGCCCAGGAGGCTGGGCAAGGGGACTACAGCATGATGAGACTTTACTGAGGGTGCTTTCTCTCTCTTGCGTGTATACACTTTG